AAGAACTCAAAAGACCAGGATGAGTCTCATTTGCAAGAGATACCTGGGTCGTAGGCAATGATTGCCGTGCGTATACTCCCAGCTGAGTAATTTGCGGCGTAATTTTCGAATTTTGGCCAAACGTGGACCTCGACGCCGGCACACAGTGGGCCTATCCTTGCGAACGAAGTCACGGGGGGGGAGGGGGGAGTGGATCTTTAACGTCCGCTGTGGAGAAGAGAGAGCGCAGTGTTATTCTGGCTGCAACGCCCGCGCGGTATTAATCGGGGCGGCCGCTGGAGTTCGAACCACGAACCTCTGCAAACGAGCGGCGAACGGGTGGCGAGACCTGAGCCCCGTCACCCCACATTGGTGGCCAGGCTGAGACCACCGCTCACCACACCTTGACAACGAGGTTCGAGAAACAGCCGCCCATGGCCGGCAGAGACGTACAGCATCTAAATTATTGTAAAATACGATATGCCAATTAGGGTGCAATGTGTAATTGGTTTCTGAATTACACACATCGACGTAATTGGATAATTGGTATATAAAGTGCATGAGATAAGAGTCAATTGGTGATTTCTATCTCCACTACAATAATCCGTGAACTTGCAATCATAATGTTTCCACCGCTCTCTAAAATAATGCATTGCGGGTGACTGACACCTGCATGTGAAACCAGGCTCTCAGTAAAGCTGGCTCAGTGTCTCTGGCATGGCCATTCTGAGTCCCACTGAGCCACCCCATGACCTCAACTTGGAAGCCAGTTTATGTATGTACTGTATGTATCAATCTTGATTTTCTAGCTTTCGTGACTGCAGGAATTCATACTCTTTGGTTCTTTCGGTGAAGTCACGTAGATAGAAAAAACAATCGATGGGGAAGACAGTCTTCAGGTGAAGACCGTCTTCACTTGAAGATGGTTGTTTGGTTGGCGATCGAAACGTCGTGATCTATAATTTTTTCTACCGACGTGACTTTACCGAAAGAACTGAAGAGTGCTGTATGTTTAACTCTTTTCGCACCGTACGTAGACAAACGTGCTAATCGGAGGTGCGACCTGCAGTGTGGCGGGTGAGTGAGTTATTGGGCGAGTGATTGGGTGAGTGGGTGAGTGATTGGGCGAGTGATTGGGTGAGTGGGTGAGTGATTGGGCGGGTGAGAGATTGGGCGAGTGATTGGGTGAGTGGGTGAGTGATTGGGCGGGTGAGAGATTGGGCGAGTGATTGGGTGAGTGATTGGGCAGGTGAGTGATTGGGCGAGTGATTGGGTGAGTGGGTGAGTGATTGGGCGGTTGAGAGATTGGGCGAGTGATTGGGTGAGTGATTGGGCAGGTGAGTGATTGGGCGAGTGATTGGGTGAGTGATTGGGCAGGTGAGTGATTGGGCGAGTGATTTGGTGAGTGGGTGAGTGATTTGGTGGGTGAGATATTGGGCGAGTGAGTGGGTGAGTGATTGGGCGGGTGAGTGATTGGGCGAGTGATTGGGTGAGTGGGTGAGTGATTGGGTGGGTGAGAGATTGCGCGAGTGATTGGGTGAGTGATTGGGCGGGTGAGAGATTGGGCGAGTGATTGGGTGAGTGGGTGAGTGATTGGGCGGGTGAGTGATTGGGTGAGTGGGTGAGTGATTGGGCGGGTGAGTGATTGGGTAAGTGGGTGAGTGATTGGGCGAGTGATTGGGTGAGTGGGTGAGTGATTGGGCGGGTGAGTGATTGGGTGAGTGTGTGAGTTATTGGGCGAGTTATTGGGTGAGTGGGTGAGTGATTGGGCGGGTGAGTGATTGGGTGAGTGTGTGAGTGATTGGGCGAGTGATTGGGTGAGTGGGTGAGTGATTGGGCGAGTGATTGAGTGAGTGAGTGATTGGGTGAGTAGGTGAGTGATTAGGTGAGTAGGTGAGTGGGTGAGTGATTGGGTGAGTGGGTGAGTGATTGGGCGAGTGATTGGGTGAGTGGGTGAGTGATTTGGTGGGTGAGAGATTGGGCGAGTGAGTGGGTGAGTGATTGGGCGGGTGAGTGATTGGGCGAGTGAGTGGGTGAGTGATTGGGCGGGTGAGTGATTGGGCGAGTGATTGGGTGAATGGGTGAGTGATTGGGCGGGTGAGAGATTGGGCGAGTGATTGGGTGAGTGGGTGAGTGATTGGGCGGGTTAGTGATTGGGTGAGTGGGTGAGTGATTGGGCGAGTGATTGGGTGAGTGGGTGAGTGATTGGCGGGTGAGTGATTGGGTGAGTGTGTGAGTGATTGGGCGAGTGATTGGGTGAGTGGGTGAGTGATTGGGCGGGTGAGAGATTGGGCGAGTGATTGGGTGAGTAGGTAAGTGGGTGAGGGATTGGGTGAGTAGGTGAGTGGGTGAGTGATTGGGTGATTGGGTGAGTGATTGGGCGAGTGATTGGGTGAGTGATTGAGTGAGTGATTGGGTGAGTGGGTGAGTGTTTGGGTGAGTAGGTGAGTGGGTGAGTGTGCTGTTGTGTGCACATTTATGCGGGCGGGGGCGGGGGGGGGGGATGTGGCAGCAGTGGTTAGCGGTGTTCAATTCTAAGCTCGGTGACCCAAGTTTCATTCCCCGTCGCGGCCAATTTCAAAAGCAAGTAAAATACCTCAACCCAAACCTGGCTGATGCCCTTCTTCACCATGCCACACTTACCAGCGTGGTGAAGTATGGTCAAACAATACCCCACGATTGACAAAGCATGAGGAGGCCTTTACTCAGCGGCGGAATGACGAGGCCCTTCATATTATTGCTTATGTTTGCTACTCAATACCTGCTAATGGAAAACAGGTCAATCGTCAATTCCTATCTGCTCATGCGACAACCTTTTAAAATGTCCCAATGTGTTCAAGGTCCCACAGTGTAAAATGTGACCTCCAAACTACAGGTCGGTCAATAGTTCTCTCCCCTCCCTGTCCGCTCTGCAAGAGGGCCAATTTCTGAAACGTCAGCCTACTGTATGGCACACGACGATGCACCGATTCGTCAGTTTCGTTGGAGAGGTTCGCGGTTCGAGGCGAGGGGCCATCCCGGTTAATACCGCGGGAGACTAAAACCTTCAAATGCTTTGCTCTCTCTGCATCACAGGGGAGGTTGGTTTTCCTCAAAGGGCCATCATATCTCGTAGTTTCTAAGTATAGCTCCTTTGCAGAAGCGAGCCCAACGAAGTAGCTTATCATCATGTGGACATTTGTAGCAGCCAAATACTCGAAAACGCATGTGGATTCTAAACGTGGAGGGAAAACCCGGAGGACCCGGAAAAAAATCCACGCAAACACGGGGAGAACACGCAAACTCCAAATATACAGCAGCAGGCGTCAGCCTCGGGATCGAACCCACGATCCCCCGTGTACCAGGCGAGGAATTTAAAAACTCGCCATCGTTTGTGCTGGCGTCATGCTCTAAATTTGCCACATTTCTTAAACAACCGTAGCCCAAGAAGATGTAATGCCTGACAGGTACGACCGCTGCAGAGATGGAGCGTTGAAGTCTACTCCTACGGGGAGACAGATGGACGGCTGCATCAAGACGCCGCGGAAGATGTCAACGGCTTGAAGAAGCCTTCGTCCAGATGGATGAATCATGGCTGAAGATGATGAAGATAGGACCTTTGCCTCAGCTACTGTAAGGTTATATCATAAGGTTACAGACACCACTTTCACAGCTAGAGAATCGCTCGAGGGGTGAAAGTGATTTCCTAGTGGCGATGATCGACGTGAAGCTTTGAACTTCGAGCGGTTTGACGAGCGAGACAAATAGTTCTCGCGGGCAGAGATTTGTAGCCTTGGGACACCGACGATGTTGACGATGAACGGTGATGGACCCGAGTGCACTGCACTTCTCACGGGGACCATGTCGAGAAACACCACAGCTTCAACGAGGCCACTGTCCGGACGTGGATTTTCATAACCCGAGCCTCCCGTAATGCACGAGCGCGCGCGTGCGTACGTGCGTTGTGATCACTGTGTAGCTTTTTGTTCGCGGTTGTGTCACCGCTGTGTGCCTCTGCGATGCGTTTTGGTTTTATTTTTTTCCGGGATCTCAGGTTTTTCTCGCCGCATTTCAAAATCAACATGGCCGTTTGGATTATTTGACTGCTAGAAACTTCCACGTGATGATAAGGCCACTTCATTGAGCTATCAATTTGTGGCCAGTTCGCTTCTGAAAAAGAGCTACATAGCTCAGTGGGCCTTACCTGGTAAAATTTAATTTAAAAAAATAGTTTAGTTTTTTTAGTTCTAGTTTAATCAAAACTGCAGCCGTCCATCTGTCTCCCGCATACGAGCAGATTTTAACGCTCCATCTACGCAATGGTCGTTGCCTGTCGGGCGTTTTACCTCATTGGGCTATGATTGTTTAATAAATGTGCCAAATTTAGAGCATGACGCCAGCACAAACGACGGTGAGGTTTTTAATTCCTCGCCTGATACACAGGAGTACGTGGGTTCGATCCCGACCCTGACGCCTACTGCTGTATATTTGGAGTTCTCCCTGGGTTCACGTGAATTTTTCTCCGGGTCCTCCACTTTTTCCCTCCACATTTAGAATCAAATTTCCACGTGATAAGCCACTCTGTTGAGCTATCATTTGTGGCCAGGTCGCTACTGAAAAATAGCTATAAAGCTCAGTTGGCCTTACCCCATAAATTTTCAAAAAATTGTTTCGTTTTTCAGTTTTAATTTAATCAAAAAGTAATAATTTGCACCTCGCCTTAAAAATACACACACACTCCTCCTTTGTCGGTTCTCTTACACAACCCCGCGCATCGATGCAGTTGACGGTTGGGACTCCAAATCCCGATCGCATCCTCGCGTCGCCCCGCTCGAACGTGGACGGCCGCGTGCCACTTGCGTGATGCATTCTCCGCGCTCGTGTGCCCGTGTGACGACGTGGGCCGGGGTAACGCTCGCGAACGGACGCGCGGCTGCAAACCGCCCAACGTGCGGAGCGACTTCGAGCGCACGTCCGAGTGAGAGAGGAGAGAGGGAGAGGGGGGGCCGTGAGTCGTGCCGCGCGTGTCTCTCGCCCCGCAGCAATCCCGGCGCGAGACCATCCGCTCGGAGGATCTGGGCGACGAGGCGGTGAGGAGGGCGGTCGTGGCCAAGGAGCGCAAGGCGGTCAAGACTCTGGGTATCATCATGGGCTCGTTCGTGCTCTGCTGGCTGCCCTTCTTCGTCGTGGCGCTGGTGGTGCCGTTCTGCGGACCGCCCTGCAAGCTGCCGCAGATCCTCATAGCCCTCATCACGTGGCTCGGCTACTCCAACTCCCTGCTCAACCCCTTCATCTACGCCTACTTCAATCGGGACTTCCAGAACGCCTTCAAGAAGATCGCCAGGTGCAGGTGCTGCAGAGGGAGAGGCAGGTGCTGAAGTGGCCTGGTGGGGTGTGGGGGCTGCTCAGGGTGGTTCTTGATGACCGTGTCGGAGACATTGAGTTTGAATCTGGGCTGAACCCCACCCATGATTAAACTCGGTTCTTGTAAGTGTAGGGAGTTGATGATCTCACCACGGTCACCAGCGACTGGAGTCGAACTCAAAAGTGTTTCCCTGCTCTAAAGAGTAATGGGACAGCGCTCACCTCCACTGGTGCTCCTAAGCGAGCGATGGAAACCCCGCAATTGAATACTGAACGGGAACCGTTGACAGCCTCCATTTCGAACCTGGATTTCAGCCACCCGTGAACTGAACCGGCTTCTCAAGTGTCACAACGCGGCGGCCTTGACTCGCCCACCGATGACTCGAGCAAACGCGAACATATCTCCGGACGTCTCACGAGGAATCCAGCAGCACTCTTCTCCGTTGGTTGGCAGTGAGCCACAGTCACGTAGTGTAGGCCAGTCTCTTTGTGGGACCATTATTAAACAGCGAGCAAGAACGGCTGATATCCTGTGTTCAAATCTGAGTTGAAACCCAGCGGTGATTAAGCCGGAGTTCTCACGTGCAAGCCGGTTTGCTTGGTCGGTCTCAGCCCGGTCACCGGTGACTTAGAAAAATATAAAGAAGAAGAAAAAAACATCACTGTGGCAGCACCCATTTCTGCTGGTGGCCAAGAGTGAGTGGTGGAAATTCCATGTTCTACACTTGAGCACTGACCCAGCTCCGCTGAGATTCTGGCCTTTTAATCTTTGATTTCCGCTGCCCCGTCATTAACCCCAATTCCCAAGCGTGACGAGTTGATGGTATTAGCCAGGTCGCCAGTGTGACTGCACACAAAAAGCTCCTTCATGTCAAATGTCATCTTTCAATGAATTCAGTGAAACCCAGTTATGGAAGCTGACGTGCATAATCTCACGTTGGGGGGGGGGGAGGGGGCTAACCAAGCAGGGAAACGCTCTCTACGCACCGTGATTACAGGAAGAAGGTGAAGTGTTGATTGGTTGGGACACTCGAGTCATGGAGAAATTCTGATAATGAACGAGCAGGAAAAAAAATATTGACTTTATGAATCCAGCCAGAAAAAAAGGCCTCGCTGAATCTCAAGGCCCTCTTTCACGAGGGTCCTGAATTGAGTCGTTTGGTCGTTTTCTAATGAGTCATTTTGCATGTGGAAAGAAAAGTGCAGATTCAAGGTGATGACACTTAAAAGACCACACGGACAGGTTCACAATAATCCGGCTCGCTGTCCTACCATCTCGCGAACATCACTGCAGCCCGGTGGGTTTGGGGGACTCACAGCTCGTGATCATCTCCGCGTGATCCACAAACCCTGCCTCTGAAGTGATGAAACGCAAGGTGTCACCCACGCACCTGGCCTGTTACAATATTCTGTGCCGCTTTCTGCATTTGGCTGATTTCGCGCTGTGCGTTGGATCCGATTTCCTGAGGTTTCTGTTTCTCTCTGCTCAGTCCATTGCATTAGGAATGGACCACCGTAGTTTGGATGGATTCCTCTTGCCAATAACATCTGGCAACCCAGCAGCATTTGTTCAACAAGCCTGACCGCTGATAAGAACCTTGAAAATGCTACAGTATTTGCTCGTTTAAACAAATGCTGCTTCATAATGTGTCTGGAAAAACCAATCGGTTAATGGACTAAGACATAAGTGTTTTTTTTATATATTTATACGTTTAAAGTTTCTTTTGTTAAACAGGTGAGAAACTCAAGAGAACAGAATTAGTCTAATTTGCAAGAGTGACCTGGGCCATCGGTTTGCCAACATGGGGCGATGATTTCAATTGTATCATCCCAATTGTGTAATTCGCGGTGCAATTTACGAACGTCACAGATTTGGAGCCCGAGGCTGAGACCACGCAGTGGCCTCGCTCGCGCGAATAAAGTCGGGAGATCTTTGGGGCCGTCCATAAATGACGTCACGCACCTGGGGGGGGGGGTCAGACATTTGTGACGCCGTGTGACGAGGGAGGGGGGGGTCAAAAATCGTCCAAAATCGCGTGACGTCATTTATGGACGGCCCCTTTAACGTTCACAGTGCCACAGTGCGACACGGAAGGACGAAAAGCGGTCCGGAGTTTTCTTGCTTAAGCAGATGCGCGCGGGTCATGTCGGTCTGCAAAGCTGACGGGCCGACGGACCGAACAATGTTCGGTCCTTACATGCGGAGGCACGGAACGGAGTTGTTATTTTGTTTGCTCCTACGGTATTTGCTTCCGCGTTTTAAAGGTTTTGCCCGATTGCGGAGACGTCGGCGATGGGTGACGACGGAACGTCATAAATTTTTATTTAAAGCTTTCGTGACTGCAGTAATTCATATTCTTAGCTCTTTCGGTAAAGTCACGTTGAAGGGAAACAATAAAATAATAAAATGGATATAAAAAATTAAAAAAAAATTCTCACGACGTTTCAACCATAACGTCGTGAGAATTTTTGTATTGTTTTATATATCTTTTTTTATTATTATTTTATTGTTTCCCTTCAACGTGACTTTACCGAAAGAGCTAAGAAGACGAACGTCACGTTCGCTTTAACAAGGAGACGCGGCTCGAAGGGCACAAACGCAGCCGTTGTCCCGGTGTTGCACGTGCCGATGCCGTGGGTGCGCTGAGTCGACGGTCCTTGCGCTGGACTTGCGGTCCAGAGTGCTCGCCGGTTCTGTCTCCTGGCGCCGAAGCTGAAACAATGCCGCGGGTTTCTCTTATCGACCCGTGCCCACCGTCGCAACGGGCTCTGCCCACCCAGTCGGGTTTAAATGGCTTCACCGGAGTTAAATTTGACCGGCGTGTCGCGTGCGGTGGGGTAAAGTGTGGGTACCCCTAACTCTTCAAAGACGTATGGCCATGCGTGAAAGAGTAGGCCAAATGCCCTAGGAGAGGGGAACTCTCTAGAGTTCTCTCTCTCTCTGGACACTAGGGGTGAATTTGCTCCATTCTAGAGCAGCGTTGTTCATTGTAAGGCCCCGCGGGTCACAGATGGGCCCTGGTGGCACTTTTGTGCGGCCCCTGTCAATCCATACAGAGTGAAGTCGCCACCCCATCATCATCATCATCGTCATCGTGCTGCTGTCAAACCCAGCAATGGTTTCAAACGCGTGCCGGCCCCCAAACTGACGATGTCTCATCGGCGAACGTGACCCCCCCCCCCTCCTTCCCTGAAAATTAGCACGGTTGGCTACGTAGGGCGTGAAAGAAGTTCAACATACATACATACAGGACATGACAGGGCTGCACCTTTACCTCTGTACACTGGCCGCTACCGCGTGCCCACCAACTGACCGACATCGATTCCGCGCTGGGTGACTGAGGAAGAGGAGTTGGAAGTGAGACGTCAAACACGAAACATCTCACCAGGTGCGGTGGTGGTGGTGGTGGCGCAGTGGAGCTGAGACAGCTGCGCCACGTTAGGCGGTTACGTGGTCCTACAGCAGCTGCTGCAGCTGCTGCTTCTACAGCTGCTGCAGCAGCTGCTGTGTTGGCAGTGGTGCACCATTACAGGCAACAACAACAACAACAATTCGACACGTTCGTCAACAACGCTATGACCCTAGTTGGCGACGTTTCGGACAATAGCGCTTCTTCATAGAACATAGAGGGCGGTAGGAAAGACGAATTGAATAATAATCGTTGGAGACTGCACTGGTTTACACTATGGGGGCTTTCTGGGAATTACATTTTTCTTTGCTGATGACCAGTTTATAAATTGATGAATGAATAGCCAGCAACACCTATGAAGACGGGCGCGGCATATTAGGGGGTGAGTGGCCAGCACCACGCCCGGCCGCCTTTGTCTCCCCAGTGGCGATATTTACACAGCACACCAGGTACTCATTTGAGGCTAAGTCAACCTAGGGGAGACCCATGACTGGTTCAGATAATCGTCAATGGTGCTGGACGTGAATGGGAATCGAATTCGGGTCGCCAGGCTTGTAGCGCAACGCGCTAACCACTGCGCCACCACTCCGCACAATCAAAAACCTACACAGTGGTAGCGACATAGAGACGCAGACACGATGTTACATCGCGGGAGGGATCAAAGGACCATTGCCCAAAACGTCGCCTATTATTTATATCAAGGCCGTAGCCATGGAGTCAACATTGGGGGGGACCAAATCTAAAATCTTTAAATATTCACGAACACATGGGATAGACTTTTGATTTATTATTAACAATAATGTCTAATATTGTATTACATTGCTCTGTTTTTTTTCTTTTTTACCTTTTCTTGTTTCATTGTATGTAATGGCAGAGATTAGGGATTAATAAAGTACAACCATAACCACAATAGTATAAACAGAAATATATTTTATAGCAATATATTGGGGGGGGGGGACATTTTGAACATATTTGAATATATTGGATTTTTTTGGGGGGGGGGATGTGTCCCCCCAAATATATATAAAAATTACGGCCTTGATTTATATATATAATTGTAAGGCCACTGTGTTATTGACAAATCTGTTGAGATTCGTCGTTAATCAACGTTCGGCTTACGGAGCCTTGTCGTGGCGATAACCCAGCGTGTCGCCAGGAGCCGTGAATTGAGAGATGATTTTTATTTGTGTTTACACAAGTACATTATAGCTGCCGCATTGCTCCGGGCCGATATTGCTCTGGTAATGAAATAAATCGACAACACGGTATAGTTATTTTGGTTGCACCTTTTCTCCAAGTCGGTTCTACGTGAGCGGTGCCCAGGCTCGGTGGTCCAGTCGGCAGAGCCATCGACTCACAAGCAGAAGGAAGGTTCCAGCTGGACGCTAATGGGTTATTTTTTCATCTTCTTACCTTTAAGTATCTGGAAATTCACCAGATTTGGCTCAAGCGAGGCCGACTGTGCCGACGAGACGCTGTGTCGAACCCGCTCCAGATTTGTGCTCGTGATGAACCAACGCTGATTACATTAGAAGGCCACGTGGGTAATGGGGAGTGTAAAAAAATATATATCTTAAATATTTTACGTGAACAGATATGTGAAGTCGGTGCAGTGTCTGCTTATTTATTTTCTATAAATATAAAAACAGAGTAGGTGGTCCATGTGTTGCCAGAGGAGAGTCAGGGTCTAAACTAGGCAAATCCGTTGGTTTGGCAAAGCCGCACAGCAAGCAAGCTGTATGTACGCAATTGTCATCTAAATTACACACCTCAACGTAATCGGGTAATTGGCATCTAAACTGCATGAAACAAGAGTCAGTTGGTGATTTGTATCTCGGCTGCGATAATCCGTCAACGTGTAATGAGAGTGTACTTCACCGCTCTCGAAAATAATAAATTGCCGTTGCCTCGCAAACCTGGACGCGAACCCAGGCTCTCAGTAAAGCTGGCTCAGGGTCTATTGGCACGGCCACTACGAGTCCCACTGAGCCACTTCGTGACCCCAACTTGTCAACCACTTTATGTATGTACGTATGTCTGTTGAACCTCTTTCGCACCGTACGTAGCCAACCGCGCTCATCGGAGCTTGCAGTGAAACACAGAGCCTCCTTTGCGATCGCCTAATCGCGCGAGCATTTAAATCGAGTTCGTTATTCACGTATTTCCGTCCCCCCCCTCCCTCTCTGGACATTCCCTCCGTTGGCATTGTAACTCACCTGGATGTGCGAGGCTG